CCCCAGACTGCAGCCCAAACCAGAAGCTTCAAAGGCGCGTTTTACTCAGCAGAGCAGTTCAAGAGAAAATGGCTGCTGTTTCCAGGTCTTGTTTGCACATCTGTCAGGAGTTGACTGTTCAGGAGAAAATGGGGTCCGTGGTATGCAGGGTTTTTTTTTTAACATCGTTCTATTCCAGCCTGCATGTGTAGGAGATGCCTGTGTGTTTTTCTTTGCTGTATTATTATTATTATTTTTTTTACAGCCAAATGTTGATGTTCAGAAAGCATTTGATTGAATTTTTAGTGAGGTTTTCACAGGAAAAGATCTAAGATTTCTGCACAAGGTATTATTCAATTTGCTGTGAATTTTTGTTTCTATCTATGCACATTTAAATCAACACATGCTGTTTTAAATGCTCAAATAGTTGCATTTAAACGGTTTCATATGTAATCCTTTCATTTTCCTTAAGGGGAATATCAATATTTTGTTGTTGATCTGTTTTTGTACAGTTTAGAGCAGCTTGATATTTAAAACTCTTGGTTTATGTATTGAAGCAGGTTTCTGAGCTTTATAACCACCTCTTTTCCAAAAAAAAAGTCTCTAATTTGAAATTTGACTTCATAAAAATTAAGATTTGACCAGCTTTCATACCACTCTCCAGTCTTTCATCTGATATCCCTCTGTGGTCACAGTTCAAAATGTGAAGCTCAAAACAAGGAAGTTGGAAAAACGCTGTAACAGCATAGCATGACAATTTGAGTTCCCCCTCCCCCAACACTGCCACCTTCTGTGAATTGCATCATATGTTAGTCATGTCTGTTTCTTAGGAATGTACTAATTTATCGACAGAGCGTCTGTAGAGGGAAGTGTTAGGTGCTGACTATCCTTGGTCTTTCTGCAAAAAGAATAAAAAGGAAAAGAAAAGAGACATCTGTCCTTATATCTGACATCCAGTTTCATATTTCTTGTGAGTCTTTGAGTATCAGCTAGTACCTGCTATTTCTACATTCACATTATCTGCTATGATAAGATCAAATCCAAAGCTGTAGTACCTGTTAAATAAATCAACTATGCAGTAACTGGGCAGAAAAATATACTGGCAAAAGTCTAAGTTGTCTATTTCAACACTGAAAATATCTCGAAGCATTCAGCCACAGCATTGCTGGGCATTGTTGTCACGTTTTTTAGCCAGCAGCAGAGGCACAGTCCTGGCACAATATTGCTTTAGTATTGTGCTGTTGCTGCACAGAGCTAACCAGACCCGTGTCTACATGTTGCCACTGTGTCACTTGGGGACACTGTCAGATATGTGGAACAGCCAGTAATGTGTGCTACTTTGTTCAGTTTTGGCTCTTGTTGGTTCTCTGGCTTTCGCTCTGTTGCAGAGAAGACACAATTTATAATTTAAACGTATAGACTGTTCTCTGCAGCCATTGTTTATGTTTTTAATGTGTGCTTCTTATTTATGTATTCATTTGTAATTTTGTGATTCTTCTTCATGGTGCACACTCACCACTCACACTTTCCTATTTTAATCAGCTTTTCAACCTGTTGGCTTTAAACCTGCTGTAATCTTGTAATGTCATCAGTCAGGCAACATACTGTTGGCTTTCTGAAGGACTGCACTCCAGCATCTGCGTTGGTTTCAATCCAGTAATTGTGTTATCTGTGTAGCCGTAGAGCTACACTCGACATCCACGCACGACCATAAATTGAGCAGAAATCAGAGCTGAATTGAGGTCTGGGTCATAGTGTGCTGGTATACAGGGATATGCACATGAATTCACATTAGCACATCGCTTCGCATTAACATATCATGAATTCAGAAACAATAACATGCTATGTGAACACTAAGGAGGCATTAAGCAGGCTTTGTTTGGTTTAGTGTGATGGTCAAAGGTGGATTGTGAGGGTGTCGTCTTAGAGGCAGTATAGTGAGAGTGGCTGCAGTGAGCCTGATGTCCTCAGCAGGGATGCTCATAATTGACCCATTAGGTGATTTCTATCAACTCTAGCAATTTCCATTTTTATTTTTATTTTTTGCTTTGCAGTCACATGTTTTCCATTTGACAGAGTTGATACGATTGTAGAGCTATATTTTTCTTCCGCCTGTAAATGGTGTCAATATCACCATGCAGGCATGTTCGTTGTGATGAGGTTTTATTTTTTTTGTCCGTTTTTAATACAGTCTCTAAGACGAAGTGAAGACAGGAAACTCTTAAGATGATAATGGTAGCTTAATATAGAAAACAGATGGGTATTTCTGTAACTGTTGCTCACACGCTGATTTGTATTTCAGATGCGTCATCTGATTTCTCGTATGTGTATTTGCCACATGAAGACTGGTTTTGCTGGAGTGCAATTTGCTGCTTTGTTTCCGTTGATTGACAGGACATTAATCAAATCTGCCAGCTGAGAGACTGAAAGCATTTCACAAAGTAGGGTTACGTGTTTCATTGAGTATTTTTCTCTTACCTGTGCAATAAGTGACATGAATCAGATTTCTATTTCAAACTGAGCCGTGTGGTTTACGATCAACAATGTGTTTGATTTTATTTGCATGTTGCTAAGCACATTAGACAGCCCTCTAATAAGTCCTACAAATCCTACGATCCTGTAAGCGTACGATCAGTTTGGATGTCTCATGTTTTTCTTCTGTGCTTATGAGTTCATCTGAACTGATAAACCTTTGCAGGACAGAGGTTGGCATCTTCTCTGGTTAGGCCCAGTGTTTAGTCAAAGGAGTCTTGAATGCACAGCGTGTTGTGTAATGGACGGTTGCATCATGTGCCCATCTGATAGAGGCTTTATTGGTGCTGCTGATGAGACCAGCATCTCTCTCTCTAGACTCCCATTTGATGATGTTTCCAGTTGTTTGGTATGTAGCTATAGAGGCCCTGGGAGCAGTGGCTGAACGCTTTGATGTGGCTAGTCTGTCTTAGTCCCATATGTAAGCTAATTAGCTAAAGGGGAAACATGAGGGCTGTGGGCCAGAACTGGGTACATCGATGAAGGTAGACAAGATTAGCATTGTTTATTCTTTGGAAGAAGAGGGTAAAAGAACTCTTACCTTGAGTGAAATGTGTCTGTCATTATCATATGCTTCAGCAATCGATGAAATGAGAATAAAACTGTTGTCCATGTAATGCTTCTGACATTCAGGTGTATGTTTTGCAGTTGCGAGCGTCTTTGCTCCGAGTATAATGACATAGTCTTTTATGTTCAAAAATATAAAAGAAGCTTGCTGCACCAGTTAGAGGTAGCTATTATTCCAGTCCTCGGCATCTCTATGGGGCTACAACAAAGGTAGACCCAATTTGAAAGAATATACCAAGGTGAAAGAGTGAATAATTCATGTTGAGTAAAATGTTCAAGCCCTCTGGCTTTATGCCCACTGGTAATTGGGACAACACCGCTCTGTCTATTTTGCTCGATCTCTTGTTGCTATGCTACCGAAGGGAATCTTGAGTGGGCCTGGATAGTGTATGGAATGAAAGTTGGACAGCCATGCAGTCTTCATAGCTGACAGCATCCCTTTATGTCTCTTTATGGTGAAATGTCCATCTGTTTACTTCTTATTAGGTTAGATGTGTGTCTTTGTGCATTCCCAGGTTTAATTTGGTTCCTTTGCTTTGTTGTCTGCTGCTCTGACATTTTCGTTCTTGTGGTGTTTACTATAAATTTGTGTGTGTTTACATTGTTTCTGTGGGTGTATATACAAGGTTTTTTTCCAGCTTCATTTACTCTGTTCTTGTACAGCATGTGGGAGATTATGAACAGTACAGCAACCAAAAATTGTTAGAATTAACAATGTTACTCCATTTTGATTTAATTGCTAACGTAAGTACTGTTATTAAATACTTGTATTTGTTTAAACTGGAAGGTTAGGTGGCTGCTATGATTAATTGTAGGTCACTAGATGGGCAGTAGAGTCATGCTTGATATCCTAAAATCAAAGCTTATTCCATCTACTTGCTTTTTGTTCTGAATGTAGATTTTTGGGAGGAACTAATCCAGCGCTTAACAACATCAGAGGATCGAGTCATGCAGCAGTGGTTAAGACAAGAGTGTGAATGAACTAACAGGAAGTGGAAGTGAGGGCTTTCCCGTGCGTGTGTTTGTTTGTCTGCGCATAGCTGTATCACTATGCAAAGACACATTGTGTAACTATTTTTACCAGTAGGAGATGCCAAATGGCATTCGGGTCAATAAAACTATGGATTTGTAAATGTCACATGCCAGAGCACAGACCTAAATATTAATCTCAGATCCCAATTTTGATCTCTTCTCAGGAGTGAGCTCAGCCTTCCAACATACCGCCTCCTTTCACTGGGCTAAGATGAGTATTACCAGCGACGAAGTGAACTTCTTGGTCTACAGATATCTCCAAGAGTCAGGTTTGCCTCTCAAATGTCTTTTTTTTTTTTTCTTCTTTGTAAATTTAGGATGTAAGCACCATGTTAAAACACAGTGTTGCATTGCTCTTGATATATCAGCATGCTATTATACTCAGGGATCTGAATTTAAAGGATCTGGATCAGTCCCGAAACCCTAGCTGTTGTCTTTTATTACTGTTTATTGAGACTGTCTGAAGCCATCTGGCAGTGTACAAGCTACTAGCAGCTCTGAGAGGTCAACACTGAAAATTGGCATGCCTTATTGTACTCTCAAATGTCATGCTTGTTATTCCATTTTGTTGTTGTATTCAATTACTCTTAGCTTTGATTGGATCAGACAAGACTTTTCTTTGAATATTTGTGTTGTGTTTGTGCACATCTTGTGCTTGGCACTCTGCTGTTAATGAATGTGAATGGTGTTTTGTTTTCAGGTTTCTCCCACTCAGCATTCACCTTTGGCATTGAGAGCCACATCAGCCAATCCAACATCAATGGAACACTAGTGCCCCCTGCTGCTCTCATCTCTATCCTGCAGAAAGGACTCCAGTATGTGGAGGCAGAAATCAGCATTAATGAGGTGAGGGCTGGGACCTGCTGTTACTGACTCCCACAGATGTCTTCTGTTGCTTAATGATACAAAGACAGACTTTGATCTCGATGCCGACTCGCTAGGGTAACTGCAAGTGCTTAATCCCCCCCCCCCCCCCCCCCCCACCACACACACACCCACACACACACATTTACGTCGTCTTGTACTGGAAGAGACCCTGAAGTGTGTTTGTATTAGGCTGCCAATTAGGAAGCACTCTTCACCTTTGTAATTGACGATTATTAGGGAAACGAGACGAGTCTCTAATTAAAAACCACACCCCTCCACGATGCGTTCTTAACTCCTCTTGTGATGACAGGACGGCACGGTCTTTGACGGTCGACCGATTGAGTCACTGTCGCTCATTGACGCGGTGATGCCAGATGTGGTGCAGACGCGGCAGCAGGCCTTCCGCGACAGACTAGCCCAGCAGCAGACCACCTGTACCATAGCAGCTTCAACCTCTGGAATCCAGTCCAATGCGCCAAAAAATGGAGAAGCCACTGTCAATGGCGAGGAGAATGGTACTCACAACATGAGTAAGTTGAACGTTAATATCGTTGGTCGCAGCTTACAGTCACCACATTTTGTCTCTTAACTTTAACCCAAATATCTGAGTCATGACAGAAATGGTGACTCATGTAATACATTTCTGAGATCTGTTAATGTGACCTCATTGTGTTACAAATGTGTGTCAAGCTCACAGTCAGTTATTGTATATTCAGTTATGTCTGTAGCAGTGATAGTCATTTTCCATTGCCCAACATGTGCGAAGTAATATATGATGCATAGGTCAGAGTCTTCTTACTGGAATATAACAGCTTGAGAGTTGCTTTTAAAATTAGAGATGTCATAGTAGTTGAAGCACATCAATATATACTTTAGTTGACTTTTTTTGAATAGATTACTGATTTTCTTTGTTGGCCCCCTGTTGCTTGAAAAGTAATATATTCACCTCCTTTGACAATTGTCTAAACTAAATACTGTAAACATTAATGGTAAATCTACACAATGCTTAAAACTTGCTGAGAATTGTAGGCAAATCTGTGTTTTGCATGTATGTTAATGTACATAAAATATGTATCTGTCCACTCCTCAGATAACCACAGTGAGCCTATGGAGATGGATGTGGATGTTGAGATACCAGCCAGTAAAGCTACAGTACTCAGAGGCCACGAGTCTGAAGTTTTCATCTGCGCCTGGAACCCTGTCAGCGATCTGTTGGCCTCAGGGTCAGTCTCTGTCTGTGCTGAAACGCATCTTAATTCATCCTGCATGAATCGTACTGTATTGTATTTACGCTGTGGTGTAAGACGTCTAGCTTTATAAAAAAACACTGCTGATAGGTTGTATTTCCACAATCATTTGACCGCCTCCTGTTATGTTGGTTGGTTCAGTTCGGGGGACTCCACTGCCAGGATCTGGAACCTGAACGAGAATAATAACTCAATCTCCACCCAGCTGGTGCTCCGCCACTGTATCCGAGAAGGTGGCCAGGATGTCCCCAGCAACAAAGATGTCACCTCCCTAGACTGGAATGTAGGTTTCAGATCATACATCACATCTTTCCTCTCGTACCTTTACCATCTGGTAAACAGGCAGTGCCGTCAGGTAACAGTTCTGTTATGTTGTCGTCCAACAGAGCGATGGGACTCTTCTGGCAACGGGCTCGTATGATGGATTTGCCAGGATATGGACAAAGGATGGTATGTCCTCCATCATTGTCACACATTGTTGTTTCTTTTGCCATTAGATTTTTATTTTTTGACATTGTTGATGTGAAAAATGCAACCTTTGTGACAATTTTGTGAGGGATCTTTTCTAAGAGAAACTGATATTACTCTTATCCATTAGGAAATCTGGCAAGCACATTGGGTCAACATAAAGGGCCCATATTTGCACTCAAGTGGAACAAGAAGGGGAACTGTATTCTCAGCGCTGGTGTAGATAAGGTACTCCTAAAGATCCCCAGGCATGGATTTGTCTTTCACTAATAATATCCTTGTGTTTTGGGGGGTTTTGTTTGCTTTTTTTGTTTCAAACCAGCCTTTTTTTGCTCATCAGACAAAGACTAAATCTCTGACATATCATTTTCTCATATCCATAGCCTAAAATTCTTAACAGTATTAAAAACAGGGAAAGAAACCTGAAATTTTTGGCTCCCACATTAAATTTTCTTATCTGTCTTTTACGATTAATTTGTCTTTTTTATAGCACAACAGACATTTAATCAAATGGAATGGAGTAAAACTTTACCAAGAAAGGTTAAGCAAACTGAGTCGGTGACATTAACTGCAGATGGGTTTATGGACCATCGAACGACAGATGAGGCATGTGCATTTGTGCAGAAAAGTTGAGCTTGTGTTTTAAAATGCAATTGTAACTTTTCCAGACGACAATCATTTGGGACGCACACACAGGAGAAGCCAAACAGCAGTTCCCTTTCCACTCAGGTAAAGCGAATTCATGTATCCAGATAAATGACTGTTATAGATAATGAATATGATACAAAGTGACTGCTGCTCAGTTGCGATCGTGCATCCTTAATGAGTATGGATTTGTGCACAGCCCCAGCACTGGATGTTGACTGGCAGAACAACACCACGTTTGCCTCTTGCAGCACAGACATGTGCATCCACGTATGTCGACTTGGCAGCGACCGCCCCCTCAAGACTTTCCAGGGCCACACGGTGAGCAGCTTTTCTGACCCCATCTCTCTCTCACACTAACTTTAGTTCTACCTCAACATACATGCTAATGAGCGTTGTTTTGCAGAATGAAGTTAATGCCATTAAGTGGGACCCATCAGGTATGCTGCTTGCCTCCTGCTCGGATGACATGACCTTAAAGGTAAGACCAGTCTCCGGTCTTGGAGGTTAAAGAAAACAAACACATTGATTTGTATTCATACATACTTTGCTCTTGCCATTCCCCTCACGTGCAGATTTGGAGTATGAAGCAGGAGTCATGTGTCCATGACCTCCAGGCTCACAGTAAAGAAATCTACACTATCAAGTGGAGCCCCACAGGCCCCAGCACAAATAACCCCAACGCCAACATCATGCTTGCCAGGTAGGAGATTGACTATATATAACTCTCATTCAATACCGATCACACGGGTCAACTTTTAATGAAGTCCTGGCTTGTTGTGTTCACTATGAGCTGTGTGTATGTTGAACCTTATAGATGTGTTTGCGAAGGCCACAAGCCCCGATGCTTCTTGATGATAAGAAACTATGTCTCATTCTGCATTTACTTTAGTCTTCAGTAAATTTAGAGTTTGATATAACAGGCAATGTGAAATAGGTTAGGACATGGCCTTTAAAAACTGAAATGATGCAAATGGGTAGCTTTCAATAATGGAATTTTTTTTCCCGTGTCTTCCTCTGCAATATAAAGCAGTGGAAATAAAAACTAGCATTTATTGAAGAAACTGATTATTAGGATGCTTTGATGCTGCTTAACCATCTGATTCCTATCCTCTGTTCTCCACACAGCGCTTCTTTTGACTCTACAGTGCGACTGTGGGATGTTGAACGAGGAGTTTGTATTCATACACTGACCAGGCACCAGGAACCGGTCTACAGCGTGGCCTTCAGCCCTGATGGCAAACACCTAGCCAGCGGCTCCTTTGATAAATGTGTCCACATTTGGAATACTACGGTAAGAGCCGGACTGGAATTTATACTGTGGAAAAACGACAGAGAAGAGACAATTAATTGTCATTTGTTTGTGGCTTTGTTTCAGACTGGAGCCTTGGTGCACAGCTACAGGGGTACTGGCGGCATCTTCGAGGTGTGCTGGAACAGCACCGGAGACAAAGTTGGTGCCAGTGCCTCCGACGGCTCGGTAAGCTGTTTTGATTTTACAGTTTTAATTTCAAATAAAACAAAAATGTCAGAAAGCTCTCACGACCAATATTTGAAGAACAGCGAGTAAAAATGCAGACTTGAAATGTAATATTAAAGCTATCTAATTTTTATTTATTTATTTTAACATTCTAGGTTTGTGTTCTCGATCTCCGAAAATAGCCCACTTGATGATTAATCCTGGATTGTGGAGAAAAATGCCTTCTCCTGCCATCAGCAAACACACACTCATTGCTCAAGAAAGGCTGTAAAGGTGAACTGAATGAAAACTCTCACCGGAATAAAACCAGATCACTGCAGCGGTTTTAACTCCAACTGAATTCAGCGCACCCTCCAGTCGATGTGTGTATTTTATGAGAAGCCTGTTTGAGACATAGCGGAAGCTGGCTAAGAGATTCCCCTAGACTGGACACAACTCGCTGGGTGCATCCATGTATTAAAATGGTTCCTTATGATGAAGTGCTGCGATCCCCACGGGCCACTGGTCCACCGTTTTCGGGTTGTGAGGGTAGAAACACGGATGAGCCGAGATATATAAAGACAAAAGTGTTATTGAGACACTGGTGTTTGGCTGTGAGAGGAAACAAATTGCGAGGAACTTCATGTCGTAATGAAGTAACACAATGAAAGTAGCTGATACTGAAAACTGAAGCACTGCTGCTGTCTGTTGACACAGTGCTTAATTTCTCCCCAGTGGAGAAACGTTTGTTTCAAGAGTAATTCTTCCTTTTCTTTTCTTTTTTTCCTTTGTTCCTCCGTCTTTTCTTTTTTTTCTTTATTTGTATCTATTTTCCACAGATGGATTTTTGAAAATCAAACTGAATGTGCCGCTACGAGGTAGTTCTTAGCTCATTTTTAACATCAGGTTCAACAACACAAAAGGAAAGGCCTGCCAAGAAATTGTCCTAACTTCCAAAAATGACCTGTTCGATTCAGTCGTCAGAAAACGTCATTCTGTGGACAAGATGTGAAAAGTGTGCTTTATACAGAGAATTATCTGCCGCTCTAGATGTAAATTTAAAGAATGTAAAGATGTAAATTAGATTCATACACAGACTTATATACTGTGTATATATGTTTATATACAGCACACTTTATTGCAATCCTGTAGGGGCTTTTTAATGGCTAGAGCTATCAGATCTTTGCTGATAATTCAAGACAAGACCACTCTTTAAATGAAGTGCATATCTCATGAGCTTCTTATGTTGCAGCCTTTCTGAAATCTGCCAGTCGTATCCATTTGATCGAGCTTACTTTTCATTAAGTGAATCACAGAAAAAACATCAAGGAAAAGCCATGGAGGAAATGTACACCGCATCATCTGCATTTGGGAAGTTCTCTTGTTAAAGATTTTAGCAGTCATCACTATCCTACTTAGCCTGCTGCTTTTATTTCTGTTTTGTGTGTAAAACAAGTCATCACGGGACTCACAAACCTGTAACTGCCAAGCAGACAAGCAAGGAAAGTTTCTGCAGCTTGTTTTATTATTAGCATGGTTCCTCTCTGGCACTTTTCCTCTGATCAGCCTACTGAAAATTCAGATCATTTGACCAGGAGGTGGATTTTATGCAAAAGCCTTGCTGTTGTTTAATTTTTTTTTTTTTTTTTTTTTTAAAGCTGATCAGGTGTGCTGAGCTTGAAATGTGTGTTGTGAGCAGTATGTCTGCCTGCTTGGATGTAAAGTAAAAGTATCTTCAAGCGAACCTGCTACCACTTTGATTTGCCTTTTTAGCTTTTAATATTTTTTTAAATTTCATTTTATTGTTTGATTTTATTTGTTTTTGTCTCACTTTTTGTCAGCTTCAGCAGGAGCAACATGAAGTGCACTTTTGTATCGGTGGGCTCAGAAAAAAATCACATTTTGCTGAAAGTCAAGGTCCAACTATTTGTTTTTGTTTTTTTTGGTTTTTTTTTTAAATGTCACAATTGGATACTAATGGGTGTTTAATTTTTTTGACTACTTTTTTTTTTTCATTTGCTAAGAGCCATTATTGTCTGTGTCAGACTGAGCATTGGGCTGTAGGTCAGTGGCCATTCTTGGCATGCTAAGGAGCCCAATATGGAATAAGCGCTGTGACGGCTACTATCTTTTTCACCCTGATCCAGGGTCTGTCACCTGTTTCCAAGAAAAAAAAAAAACATTGAAGTCATTCAGTGTCTCAAATAAATTACTCTATTTTGATAACAGAACTCAAGTCTTTGTCTTGAATTGTGTGCTTCCCCCCCTTTTTCTTGAGCTCATTAACATATTGTAGATTTGGGGAAAAATTGAAAGGTTTTTGAGTCAAAAGTGTAAAAGATATTTAGATATTTAATATAGCATGAAATACATATGTGTAAAAATACAACATGGACACCTGGCAATACAATAACTTTGTTTTAAGATTAGTTATTTAGCTTATTTTGTGGGGCTTTTACAGCTTAATGAAAATGATTCTTGTCACAAAATCAGTGTATGCAATTTAAAGAATTTGAAAAAATGCTTCTTCAAGCACTTAAAGTACTTTTAAAGGTCAGCCGTGTTCGTTCTGGGACTGTTGAGTTGATGGGTCTGAAATGTAGCACTTTTATTTTTTCTTTTTATGGAAAGGGATTTAAAAAAAAAAAAAAAAAAAAAAAAAAAAGGATTGGACTCAGGAATGAGGCTTAGTCTGTCATACCAAATAATGAAACTCATGACCAGTTCAAATCTCAGCAGGAAAACAAAGGCTTAATGGGAGACCATCTACAAAAAAAAGTGACCGCAAAAACAATGCGGTGCAGCAAAGTGGAGGAAGGTGGTTTGTGGACGACCCCAGTTAGTGCCTCACAGAGTTCTCCAAGGATTCTCCGTCAGCGTCTACATCCTCATAGTCTTGTAGCTCGCTGGAAATGTGGATTTCAACTGTACTAGACTCTGAACCTAGCAAGACAAAATAGGGGTAGATTACTTGGTGCTTCTGCGCATTACACCAACTCAGCTTATCAAAACTGCGTATTTGTGTTAACATATATCTTTCCATGCAGCTTTTAATGTGGAAATGATGATTTGTGGTTTTTAAATGCATTAAAAAAACATGGTCTATAAACAAGAATGGGGGGAAAAAACATATTCTTTCAAAGATTAACTTTATTTTTTAATATACTTAACATATCAGGGACACTGGTGGTACAAAGCACTGAAAGGATTTTGTCCATGAGGTGTACGGTGCACAATTGTCACTCAGGGATAAAATTAACATGAATATGCTGCAAATGCACATAAGTGTTGAGCTACAGTACATATAGATATAACTGGGAGTTGTTTCCACGATATTCAAAAGGACTCAGCATATAAAGTTTGAATATTCACAATGAAAAATTAGCTGAACTTTAAAACAGCTTTTGAGGGACTATAGCGTTATAATCTCTTCAAATTATAAGTTAGAATTGCTGCTATATTATGCACTGATGTCAAATTATAGACCAATTTGTGTTGCTGTACTTGATACAATTTATATATATATATATATTTTTTAATAAGCTGGTGCAGCTTAATGGATGCTTAGCATAAATTGAAAATTGTGTTATCACAGCTTGTCCAGCAGAGCAGCTTCAATTCCTTTTTGCAGTTTTCACATCCTTTTTTAGCGCATGTGGCAGAGAATGAATCACAGAGCAGATGTGAAGCAGTGCGTCACAGTAAGTTGCAAACTTGTTTGTGAAATACATTGCTGGAAAGTCAAAGAATGAACTCGTCATTTTCTTTTTTCGATGTAATCTGCATACTACATCGAACACTTTAGGTACGCCTCACTTGTACGGGGTTGGACCCTCTCTTGCCTTCAGAGCTGCCTTAATTCTTCATGCAAGGAATCAACAAGGTGCTGGAAACATCGCTCAGATTCTGCTTCATATTGCCATGATAGCATCGCACAGTTGCAGCAGATTTGTTAGCTCCACATCCATAATGCAAATCTGTTCCACCAGATCCCAAAGGTGCTCTATTGGATTAAGATCTGGTGACTGTGGAGGCCATTTGAGTACAGTGAACTCCTTGTCGTGTTCGAGAAATCAGTTTGAGAAATCTGAGTCTTGACAGGAAGCGTGGGGATGGAGGCAACCGTGAGAAGATGGGTACACTGTGGTCATGATCAGATGAACATTGTCAGCAACAATACTCGGGCAGGCTGTGGCATTTAAACGCTTAGCTAATAATAAGGGGGGCAAAATGTGACAAGAAAATATGCCCCACACCATTACATCATCTGAGCTTTGATACAAGTTAGGATTGATCCATGCTTTCATGTTGTTCATGCCAAATCCCAGCTTTTCTGAATCATCAGACCAGGCAACTTCATTATTTTTAAATTTAAAAATACATCTTCTATTGTGGTGAGCCTCTGCAAACTGTAGCCTCACTTTCCTGTTCTTAGTTGACAGGAGTGGCACCAAAGTCTATTCTTCTGCTGTGGTAGCCCCTCTGCTTCCAGGTTTGATGTGTTCTCTTCTGCCATAGTTATTTTGAGTTACTGTTCCCTCCCTATCAGCTTGAAGGAGTCACTCTTCTATGACTGCTGGCATTAAGAATGCATTTTCATACAGAGAAGTGCTGCTTACTGAATATTTTCTCTCTTTTGGACATTAAACCCTAGAGATGGTTGTGTGGGAAAATGCCAGAAGGTCAGCAGTTTCTGAAATACTCAGACCAACCCCTTTGGCTCCTACAATAATGCCGTGTTCAGAGTTACTTAAATCACCTTTCTTCCCCATTCTGATGCTTGAACTTCAGCATATCATCTTAATAATGTCTGGATGCCTAAATGTATTGATTTTCTGTCATGTGATTGGTTGATTCGATATTTACATCAAGCAGTTAAACAGGCGTACCTAATAAAGTGGCTGTTGAAAGTATATATGCAGAATCTAATCTCCTTATTTTTCCTGGCTAAAAGTCAGTATCAGACAGTGATGTATTCTACCTGTTTTTCTTTCTTATTGGCTTCCACTGCTCTCTGTTTATTATCTGCACTTAATGCGCTGTGTGATAGCTGGCACCAGAGTAGCACCTTGAAAAACTGCAGCTGATGAAATTACACAGCATGTCAGTCATCTATAAATAAAGCAACACATTCAGAGCGATAGCAGCAAAGTTCTAATCACTTTAGTTCATTCTCCACAGAAAATCTTTTAACTTCCTGTGCTCTGCAGTTTCCCATTGCTGTTGCATTCAGTACAAATCAAAAAGAAGAAATGAAGACAATTGTGGAGGGTGTTGCGTAACGTCACAACATGATTCATGGTTCCACCCAGTAAGCGTCGGCTACAGTACAGCAGTACAATATAAAATTCTATTTAAAATAAATCACAGCGAGCTTTGTTTGCTTTAGTGGCTCTCTACTGTGACTAGGCCATTGCAACACCTTGATAAAGCTCATTTATTTTTAAAAAAAGACTAAACAAAACAACAGTATTCAGATCTCAAAGAAAATACTAAACCGTGCTTCATATTAAGGGGAGGTAGCCCATACAGTATATGATGCTGATATCTTTTTAGCATCACCAGCCCTGATATACTGGCGAGCTGCTACCACCATTGACATGCCGATTACCTTCTGAGAGGACGCTGATGGCATCAGAGTGGTGTTGCCCGTTTCCCATCATGTTCTTCTGTGATTCCTGGACGTGACTCTGGTAAAGCAGAGTAGTTCCCACCACAGGGTTATGGGAAGTCATGTTAGCTGCTGAAGTAGAGACAGAGTCCCAGACCAGCTCCCTCCTCTGCTGCAGGCTGAAGTCAATGTCAAAGCCTGTCCAGCCATGAAAGGCCAGGGTGTTAAGGAAAGCCTGCATGGGGTTCAGTATACCCTGAAAGAGTGGAATATAAAGGTTTTCAAGGCATTGCATGCAGGTTAAAGTAGCGTGCTGTACGCTGGTTTCCTGTTAAAACCCACCATGATAAACCATGTGATGAGCGCTGTGTTCCTGATATTCCTCAAACTATTGTCACTGATGTCTGTCTGCATCTCCAGGTAGAAGAGGAGGCTCTCATTAATGATGTTGGGAACCCAGCTAAAACATCGGAGAAGGAAAAAAACCCCCCACATCTTATTACAAGAACATTAAAATGTTAACGATGTTTCTTATTTACAGATCATTGAAAAGACCTAATGGTTAGGTATAAAAAGTTTGAAACCACAAATAATTGTTTTGCATGTTTTGGCCTGTTTACTGACATTGAAATATTGAAATCTTTAAGCAGGCTTGGCTTTAGTTTCTGTGACTGTGAGTTTTAAAAATCAATTTGCCCTCAGGTTCATCCTCATAAACACAACATTTAATGCAGTTAAATTTAAGTTATTAAAAGAATACTGGATTAATAACTTCTCGACCTAGCCTCCGAAATATAACCTGGCCTTTCTTACAGTGTGAAGTTGCCAAAAAACTTGCCAAGACTGATAATTTGCTGTCAGTGGAAAGAATTAGTCTGGATCACCCATCCATAAAACTACAACGTTTTTTACATTCTGGTTTTTAAACCGGTTAAACCTTAGGCAGTATATAAAAGACAGGCATACGGTCATGGGAAAAAGGTTTCTCATTATTTTATGCAGTCCTGTGGAAAAATAAGTGCACCCCACGATTCA